ACTTAATGCTATCATGCTCTGCATTATGATTCTGTATAAACATTTTCCCATAACAATAAAACATAAATTTAAAAATAAATGTGAGACGACCCAACTGGCTTAAATTAATTCTTATTATTATTTGTTTGATGCCATGTACAAGAAAAGACAACGTTTCGACCTTAGGTTTAGGTCCTTATCAAGTCTAAAATTAACATTAAAAATACAATAGATGTACATACAAGAATTTTGATTTTAAGAAAGTAAAGCGCAAACCAAGATTATAATACCAATTTAAACGTACCTTATAAATTCTTAAGTGCAATATATAATTAATTTTGTTCCATTTTACATATTTCAATATAAATATTGTGTCAACGTAAACGTTCGGTATGGATGGTAAAGACGAACTAAGTTAAACAGCTTTGATTATTCTATCATAGATCGGATTCAAATTCTCTGTGTCTTTCTGTAGGTTGATCGTGTTATTAAATTTTTTTATAAAAACATTTCAGCAATCTCTTTTCCTAGTGTTTGTTTCTCGATGTAAAATATTTAAGTTTGTCCATTTAAAGTCATGCGAAAATTCATTTCTATGTTTGCTTATAACATTTTGATTGCTGACATGCATTTTTATATTATTCATATGTTCTTTAATCCGAGTATTAAGGTGTCTTTTAGTTTGTCCGATGTATGTGGCGTCACAGTCATTGCAGTCGACTTTATAAACTATCTCGGTCATATTGGCTTTAGGTAATTTGTCTTTTCGGGGTTTAATAAACGTATCAAGTTTTTTGGAATCGTATAAATAACACTTAAGCCTGTTTCTTAATAGATCTCTCAATAGTCTCACTTAGGTTCTTAACATACGGCATTAAAATACAAGACGAAATATCAAATACATTATTTTTGTCAACTACGTTATGAGAATTTTCTAAAAAACATGTTCGTTTATACATATATCGCTCGATGACCGTCCTAGGAAAAACAATTATTCAACAAGATTTTTTAACCATCTGTAAGTTCTCATTATGAAATCGTGGCGATACAAGATATCTACTATTAATAAAACATAAAATTAATTTTTATTTGTCAAATTACAATTATAAGGAAATAACTTTTTGAAGTATATAAATATATGTATTTTTAATAGTACAACTCAATTATCTGATGTTATTGTGTAGTTAAAAACTTGATAATTTTTAAATTAAATAATTCACATAATTTAATTCAAAAATTATATTTTATATATATATATATATATATATATATATATATATATATATATAATATATATGAGAACGATCAAAGATGCAGAATAATAAGTAACATTTTTTAACATATGTTAAAATTATTTCACAGAAGTTAGTAAATTAATACTCGCTTATAATATCAGAATAAAAAACAACATATAATTTTCTAAAGAATGCAAGGTAAAAGTATTTATGATTATTACCTTCTCATTATAAAACCAGTTTGTCACGTCAGCAATACGTCATAGAAATAATTGATGTTCAAAGACAAAATTAATTCATGAAGATTATAGAATAGAAACTATGATAATGATTAAATTATACATTTTCAACAAATTTTTCTTAAAACGACATTTCAAATAATCAAATTCAAATCAGCCAACAAATATAAACAGCATAATTAAGAAACACATCTGACACTGAAATACACAATGTTTATATAACTAAATTTTACTTGCGTTTAAAATCTAAAGTTTATTTGTGTGTATTGTATATGTATGTATGACTAACTTGTTTTGAAATATTTCTAAATTTGCAAAATATGGAATATATTGTCAATGTTTCTCGGTTAATTAAAAAAATAATATAAATGTTATGTTTTAATTAAGAACTATTATATTTTGATTATTTTTATGCGATTATATTTCTATTTATATTTTCGCGCAAGTATATAAACAATCTTCATCTATTGATGCACTCATATACACGCGCTTATCGCGAATGACTTGTAAATTATTTATCATGAGATCGACAGTTTTAATCACGTCATTTGTAATCAGAGAAATTGATTTAAATGAATAAATGACTGATGTAAAATGCTAAATAAATTAAATTGTTTAACTTTATAAAATGTATATATAAAGATAGTATTATAAGAGACATTTTTTTAAAGATAGCTAATCAAGTCACATTCAAATATCGATGATTACATATAAACACACATAATAATTTGTGATAAAATGCAAGAAATTCGAAACATCATGCATAATTAAAAATTAAAATACCAAAATTTATTATCGTCAATTGATTACAAAGTAATATAATAAATCAGTAATTTACACAATAAAAATTTACATTATCGACAACACATAAAACATTATATTTACAATCAATTAAGTTAGTTTAAATTCTTTTAGGATGTCCACGTTTTTTGGCTTCTTTAAACATAGCTACGAGAGAATCCAAAGTCTCTTCTCCAGTCGGAATAATTTGTTTCGGAGGTAATAAGAAGCCATAACGACCCTGATCACGCAATTCATAGGTGTAGGAGAGACTTTTTTATGAACGCCTTTTATGTAATCCACAGTACTTCCGGTGGCTACATCTAGAAATAATTTTATTTTAGCTATTTTAGAAATAGACAATTTATATAATTAATTAATACTTAAATTACAGCGAATGACTTAATTATATAAAAATTAAAATAAGTTGAAACTATTTTACTTACAGATCGTCTCGGCAATATTTCCTGTCACATACTCTGTTCCGTATCTCTGTTTGAGAGCTTCAATTGATTTGGAACCGATAGCATACTAAAATCATAAAATCATAAGAATCGTGTTATGAAACCAACGATTATCTTAAGGATAAGATACGATTATACTTGTCAGTGAATTTCTTTTTAAACAGACATATCGATTTTTTTCGCATTTATAAATTAGTTTGTTTGCACGTAAAATTATTGTACAATATATATTAATTTATACTATCTCATAATGTAAAAATAATAAAAATAATAATATATATAGTAAAAATAATAAAGATATACATATAGTAAAAATGATGATAAAAATAAAAATAAAATAATATATAATTATTTCATTAACTAAGAAATATTATATCCACAGTTTTCTCTAAACTACAATATTTTACGATATTAAAGTTGCTCACCAATTCGTCGTAATTCTCAAGATGATCTGTTGTGTGGCCATAAGGAAACATTAATAGCTGCGAGTAGCTATGCAACGAGATGTACGCGTAAAATTTATCGTCTATAGATTTCAGATATTCAGACATGCTTTTCGTTTCTATATCGGAGAATGGCGCACTTCCGGCATGGGTTTCGGAACATGGATTGCTGCTGGCACCTCCAGCTATTAAATGTCAAATTACAATGTCATTAACGAACATAAAATCAATCTTAATCTCATGAGTTCTTCAAAGATTTGTAAAGTTCTTCCAAATTATTTAACAATCTCTAAACTCTTGAAACAACGATAATATTTGATTCTTAATTCTTCTATGATTTCTTATTTAAAGAATACATTAATACTTACTATTCCATCTGTAGTCCCAATTTCTATTGGGATCGCTGCCATAACAAATACCATAAGGCTTACGCGTTTTCCTCCACAATCGGTTCTGCAAACGATTGATCAAATTTTGTAGGTAATATTTCAATTAAAAAGAAAAAAATCTCATAGCAATATCACAAAAAATGACTTACCGTGGTGTGTGTGTACACATATCCATCGGGATTGAACGATGGGAAGATGTACCAATCGTGACTCTCGGCCAGAGCTCTGACGTCCGAATCATTGCTGGCCAACAATTGATGCAGTATGTACATGGTAGTTGCCGGAGTAATCCATTCCCTGGCATGAATACCACCTTCGATGAAGATTCCGGGATTATTTTTCTTGAAGGAAACCTTGACGCCTTTGATTTCACGTCCCTCATATGTCTTGCCGCCTACAATGGTCTGCACTTTGTTCGCATACTGCGCAGTCAAGTCGTCCAGATTCTTATAAATTTCATCAAGAGTATGATAGCTGGTGAAATCGAACGATTTCGATCGAGTCAGAGGAGTCGTTTCGTCTATCAGCGTCTGAATGTCCTCGATATGGACCTGATAGGGTATTCCCAGTTGACCCATTATTTCGTAAAATTCGGGCAATTTGTGTGGTGCTACCATGAGATCTACATTTTTGCCCACAAAACTTGGTGCCTCCCAGAAAGAGAACTATAAACAACATTTAATTTCGCATACTTAGTACTAAAATTTAATTTTGCGATGCTATTAAATATTATTTGATTTGTTATGAATCTTATTTTTGAATTTTTTATAGTTTATAAATTTGCGAAATTAATTTTGTAAATTTTGGATTAAATTGCATAAAATAATAACTATTTAGAAAGAAGCTCGTACAAATTAAAAAGAAATAACAATAATACTGTTAGGCTTTTTTTATAAACAAGTAAATAAACAATGTTATAAAAATTAATTAAATTAATTTATTTGTAATTATTAACGTGAGACTAATAATTACAAATAAATTAATTTAATTAATTTTTATAACATTGTTTATTTGCTCGTTTATAAAAAAAAGCCTAACAGTATTATTGTTATTTATTTTGAATCGCACAAATTTTATGACATTGATTTTGAATCAATGTAAACTGATAAAAATATTTTTGTTCAAGAAGAAATAGAATTCTGTACGCATACATTACTCGATCTGTACATCTGTGAATTTAAATATTTGTGTAATGGAAAAGATATTTACTTACTCCATCAGAAACTTCAAACTCGTGCAGAATTTCGACCTGCGACTTTGTAGTTGGGATAAGCCTGAAGACTTTGTAATTATTAAATCTGGCCTTCTCGGCGATCGCCAGACCCAGAATCGTGCACAACACTATTATCTTCCACATAATGATTCTGTAGAAACACATAGGTTCTTTTATTTTAATTTACAAAAAATAAAGTTCTTATTAATTATTAATTTATAATAGTCACAATTGTCGTAAATTCTTGTATTAATTATAACATAACATGCAGTTTTTAAAAAGAAAGCTTAATTATCAACATCTATTGTCATCAGTCAGTTATTTAATTTTTATGATTCAATTCAGGAATCTATTTTTTTTCTTTCGAAAAGATCTTACCCTTGTCAAGACAGGAGTACTTGTGATCATCGCTACTGTTTTGTTCATTGTATTTAAACACTGAATGCACACGGCACCAAACAATCAAGACACCAAGACATTATTTAAAAAAAAAGTCATGTCGATCAATCAAACAAAAGTCACGCTTACATTGAGTGGGTTTTACCACTCATCTATCGGATTAGCTTCAAAAGAATCGTGCGTTATCGGACTGATTCTGTATGGCGCACTCGACAGGTATCGAGATTTCACAATCATTCATCATCTTAAGCTTTATTGGACGTTTAAACACGTAAGCATAAAATTTATTTTAATTTAGATTTTGATTATTTTTGTATATTTTATAAATTTAAAAAACGTTAGTTTTTGTCTCGCTTTCAAAATATATTATTTTAATATCGCGAAAAATATTAATTCAAATAGAATTCAAAAAGAACAATTGATCTAAAATAATTCAAATTACTACGTTAGTGAGTATAAAAATAATTACATAAATTTAAAAAACTATAGTATATTTAATTTGCTTTAAATTTTTAACGCTGATTTAATCGTACTCGGTATAAAATAGATATTTGCAATATATGTGAATAAGATAAATGCAATAAAATCAATCATTACTAAATCTTCTTTAAACTTTGTACTGCTATGTTTGTGCGAATTATTATGTATAAAATATTAAATAAAAATTTTTTTTATAAATAGTTTTTCCATCTTTTTCGAGAAATAATGTTTGTTCTTTTTTATTTAATAAGTAAAACATCGATGATTGATGCATATCTCTTATTTTCTAGAACATAAAATTTTATCATTTTGTTAAAAGCACAAAAATTATATTTTAGGATTTTGCGCAATTATCATATGTATATTTATATATTTTTATCAAATGCACTGTCAAATCTTATCGTAAATGCTTCATTGATTAATTATATTGCGTGATTGATATAGCGTCCTATTTAATCGCACTCATTCGATGACAGCTAATCTGTGCAAATAATTAAAAATGATAAAATTGTCTCGCGTCATCTAATTATATAGATTAAGATCAAAACGAAATTTCTTATATCTGCAGAGATATATCGCAAGAATACCATATATCTTGTCCGATACAAGCGATGCATCAATTGCAAAATATTCAATATCTTTTTCTGATTTCCTGTGTTTCTCTTTGTAAATAAATACTTGTATATTTCTTATAAACAATTTATGTTACACAATTTTTGATATTTTAATTGATTTGATCTATGATCAATTTTACGCAATTATTTACGGAAAATAAATAACGTGCTAAATTTTTTTACACAATTAAGCTCGTAAATTTATATAACAGAAAATATAACTTTGTACTATACTTACTCAAGTGACAATATTTCACCTGTTTTGTCTTCAAAAATGTTTGAAAGTGCACTCCGACGATTCGCTTTTCGACTTTTATACATATACGCGCCGTTTTTCCAAGATCGTAAAGTACGTGAGATACATGCAAAGTAACGGAATATGGGCGTTAATTTGCATGTGCAAAATAAATTATTTAGGAACAGCCAGCACACATCGTAGGATGTTCCACATTCATTGTTTAACATGCGGGTCCTTATCAGACGCATTCTGCGGATACTGTGCGTACTTAAAGATTAGCGAAAATTAAACCGCTGGGATAAGATTAAATTGACCTATTTTTGCTGGTTTAAAATAATGTGTATGCATTTACGTTTGTCACGAGATATTTATTAACAATGCTTTACAAGGTCTTATTCGTGCTGCGCGCACGAATTTAATAAGTCCGTATAGTTAACTAAAAATTTACATATTTATTTATTTACGTAACATAACATATATGTGTATATATACATGTATGTATATACATATATATGTATATGTACACACATTTCTTTAGAATTATTCAGAAAAAACGGCTTCTATACAAATTGTCGACATTATATGGTCTCACGAAATGTACACATTATGCGCGTAATAGGTACGGCATACTTGACACACTAGTTTAATTAGGAACGAGTTTAATCTACGTCTTCAAAATTACGTCCGAAAAATTGCAGCATCGTAGAAAACGTACACAGCATTCGCAATTCTGATTCATTTCGCTCTTACAATATTTTTCTCTCAGCATAGCCATAATATAAATGTACAAATTATTCGTTTTAAAGTATCTGTATAATCAAGTGAAAAACTTCTGAAAAAAATGAAATAATTAAGAAATTTTAGAAAACATTTTATATCAAGATATTTTTGAATTATATAGCTTTTATTATATATATTATAAATTATTAATATTTTTGTAAAACAATTAAAAAGTTACCATTCTTCCGAAGAAATAAAATAAAAATATAACAGACATTATGTTATTAGAAATCGAGTATAGTTTTTTTATTACATTAAAATATGTTTCTGTGAAAAAATACAATATTATTAGAAATAATTAAAAACAAATATATAAATATACATATATATACAGATACTTTAAAACGTAAAATTTATACCAAAAGTTATCTTCATAAAGAAACACCTCTAATCCATTTAAAATCAATTTGTTTATATAAAATGTAATTAAAAATTACATATTGTACCCATTAGCTAATTAACCGTGAATTTTTATATAGCATCAAATATTTTTCAGGAGATAGAATATTTTTTTAATTTACTTACAATTCTTATTGTAACCATTCGAAATAATCGTATACAGCAGTAAAAGTATAATTTTCTACATACACGACACGCATCTTGTGCATGCGTACACTAATATGTATATATAATTGTTACCAGCTAAATCAAAACTTCAGATTACATCATCACAGTCTGCAGTTTGTTAATTCTCAAACGATCAAAATCAAGAATAAATATCTACCTTTCCTAGATCACGTTCTAAATATGTTCGATATATATTAATCATTTTATCAAATAAATTAATCATTTTTCTTAGAAAATTATTTAATAACATAAAAATAAAATAAAAACAAAATAGAGATAAATAAAAAAATAAAATCAGAAAGAAAGATAAAATTTAATTCAGCTTTCTTTTATATATACTGTATTAATATATTAATATATTAGCTTTCTTTTATATATACTATATTAATATATTAATATAGATTTTTAAAGTTTATTTTCAAAAAAACAAAAAATTTCATTTATGTTTATTATATTATTAATGTATGTCGAATAACTTTTACGAATAGATTCAGAATACGTAATCTAGGATAAATTATCGAAGAATTGCAAGTTATACGCTGTTTATTAATATAACAAAAATAGTTCCTCACAAATTGAAATGCTTTCTGATGTTATCTGTAGTACTAACTAGATAATCAAACACACTTTATTATATGAAACTTAATATTACAACCAATCACGATCCAATCATCTAGACGCAATACTTCATTGTAAAAAATCATTCATTCCTTCAAAAATTGTCAAAAGATTTTTTTTCCTTTTATTCGGTTTGAATCAACCCTGTGAAAATCTCGCTAAAAATGCGTAGTAAATAATCTACGCTTATGTGAGAAAAGGTGTTGAAAAAAAACCAATTGTCAAATCTGTGTGTAATCAAATTTCTTTGATATGTAATGCAACTGCGGCACAAGGAAGATTATCAATATTAATTTTCTGGCCAATGTAGTATTTCATCTGTCTAATAACTATAGTTGTTTCTCATATTTGAAAAAGAATAGTTCTTCACAGATTCGTCCTAACTTCAAATGCAGATCTAGCTTTCCCATTAAAACATTCTTTGCGACTTGCAATCAAAAATCTTTCTGAGCTCCCTAAAGAAAATAAAAACAGTTAAATTAAGCTTATTCAAAAATAAACAGAAAAATTGCGAGCATATATCGCTGCATTGCGAATTATTATATTTACCCAATTGTTTCCTGATCAATAGCATTCTGCTATAAATGACTGATTTCCATCCCATGGGGGAGTCTGTGACCCTGAGTATGACTCATACTAAGTTGCCTCGTCGCCATCCCACCACCGCATTGGCTGCTCCAATCCGCAATAGGTATCGGCATGCGGTAAAACTTGGACGAAGTCTTGTTAAATATTGGCAACAACTCGTTTGCCTCTGTGGATAATGCCTAAAGACAAAAATTTCCGTGTTTCATGCATTGCTCATAAATAAAATATATATACAGAGTGCCTGACATAAGGTGTCACACCGAAAAGACACTTTTTCCTCAGCAAAAATATTGAGGCATCAATAATTTTCGAGTTGTAAGCGATTGAAAATAAAGAGTTTCTCGCAATCTAAGCCTTGTAAAAATAAAAATTAACAAAACCGCATTCTCCAATTTTTAATAGAGTTATTACTTTAATAAAATTGTAATTTAAGGTTTAATTATAAAGATATATGATGGCAAAATTGGGAACATGCAAAAATGATGGCTTCCCTCGACATTTTTGCTGAGGAAAAATCCAAATAACGAGATCTACTTGTATATTTTCGATATAACACTTTATGTCAAACACCCTGTATAACATCATAAAGCTGCCGTTGAATGATGTATTTGTCACGAGAATTTTCAAGCATTACCTTCAAATAGATAATAGCGTCTGTTCCGTAACCCTCACAACTAAGCAGCACGATATCACCGTGCAGATACCTGGCGTAGAGCCGAGATAATGGCAAACCGTAACCGTATCCCGCAAGTGGTACCGTGTGAGCATCATCCGATTTACTCGGCTGCGGAGCGGTGCTGTACATATACTTAAATAAATGGTCCGTTTGTGAACGAGGAATGCCGCCACCCCTGTCGGATATCTGAAGCAAACAGATATAAGATAGAAATTAATAATGATTTCTTGCAGTCTAATGCATCACATGCATTATCTGGAGTTATTAAAACGAAACCGTATTCATCGTACCTTGATACAAATATCCTCTTTACCACGCACCAACAGAACTTCGAGTGGCGGATAATTGTTGGAGTCCGATCCAATATGCTCCATAACGGCTCGCATGCTGTTCTTGAAGAGCTCGAATAACATATGATACATGTGACTCGGCACATAAATGATTCTAATTTCACTATTATGTTCAAGCTCTGGAAAAACAAAACGCACAAAACAATTACATAACCAGAACCTTGGTTGCTATTATTTTTTTACAACTTTTAATCGTATAGTAAAAATATCAGAATTGTGCGTACTGATCAAATTCATTCGTCCTCTTTTTATACATGTATAAAGATAATAGAAATAACATTGGATGAATTATATATAAATATATATATATATATAATGATCTATAATATATACCTCTATAGAAAAATCTCTGGGACAAATTACGTGTCCCAAATTATTTTATTAACGCTAATACAACCAATGTTCAAACTTGCCATTATGTTGCTTGACTATCAATTCCGGACTAGCCAGATAATATCGATCGCACAAAAAGCGTGCGTTTTCGTAAGCGTCCTTAATGACGCCGATCACGTCACAGGACGGATCTATACATCCTACATGTCTACTGTGCCCGTTCAACTGTCCACCAAAAAGGAGCGCTAAAAAGCAAAGGAAAAAAAACATTAACAAAATATTCGACTTATATTTAAATTTTAAAACATTTTCGATACATACTGTGCTGATTGATCAGCATACGAATGGAAATGCGGGACATTAAAAATCTGTCTAGGAAATACTGTATGCTGTTTTCAGTCTGAACGTCCACGTCATAGGACTCCTTCAGTTCCAAAACGCCTTGCGCCATCGTTTGAACAACGTCGGTGTGTCTGTTCCGGATCTTTATCAAAGCCTGGCAGAATCTATAAAAAGATTCGCGTGTCGAGGAATTCGTATAAATCGATCGATCTTCTCAAATACATCGCAATTCGTCCAAGTAGAGTGCTTAATCCACACACTCACTTGTCTAAAGTGGTATCGTTGACATCAGACTTCTCGAAGTGTATTATTTCCTCGAAAGAAGTGACATATAAGTTATTCACAATACCCACACTAGGCATCCTCAGCAGATTGTCCGGCAGCAAGTGTATCTCTTTCATAATATTAGCAAGCCGCACCGGCAATTCTTTTCGCAGGAATATGAAAGACTTCCTTTCGCAGGCACTTAGACCTGAAAAATACACACCATGTAATTATAATCAAGTTTTAATTTTATTTATATAATAAAAAAGTGTAATTAAGTTTTATGAAATCAGTTATTAATGAATATAAAAAACTTTAAGAGGCAATTTCCTCATTTCCAAAATTTAACATGAAAATAAATTCTAAGCATCATATAATTCACACAAGACAAGAGCGTGTGAGAAATAAAACTTTAGCTATCACACATTTGATTCCTATAAAAATCTCTTATCTTCTTATCTTTCTTTCGACTGTTCTGTCTTTGTTGATTGATAGACTTTTTGCATAACTTGTTAACGTTAAACAGTCATCAAAACAGATGACAGTTATACATGCGGTACTCATCAAAACAGCTTTTGTTCTATATCATATTTTCTTCGTCTGCCAGACGTAAAATACATATTTATTGCGAGAATTGGAAATGTCTTCCAGAAAGGAAAAAATGATAACTCACTGTCGCGTTATCTCTACAACGTAAGATCAGTGGGGAAGTAAACCACAAATTTATGAGAATTTTATATTTTTACAAACGGCCAACCGTTAATCGCGTAAACGACTGACATGTATCCTTCAAAAAGATATATATTTGAATAACTTATTTGCAAGAAAGCAAAAAGTCTAAACACAATGTATTTTTGACATAAATGCGAATTCTCAAAAAATGTATTAATGACAATGTCAACTTTTATGGAGCGAATAATATATCAGAGAGAGACATCAGAGATATTTCTAAATTGATAAATATCTTTACTTCAAATATAATATTTGTATATGCTAAGTTGTATTGGTTTATATAATTGAGAGAGAAAAAGTAAGAGACAAAATTTATGAATATTTGCATTTTATGATTTGAATTCGAACAAACGGAAGTGTTCACCTTATTTACCAATTAATTGATAAGAAATCGTTTATCATGAGATAAGAAATTAACAGTATATACCGTTGTTTATCACTGAATTTATGACAGGTTAACCCATTATTTGCAATGTTGTTAGTGAAAAATAATTTACGAAAAATTATAGTTTAACTTTTTATAGTTACGATATATGTAGAAATATTCCAACACAAAGAAGCTTAAAAATTTAATATCTTATAATCGATATTTAAAATGTATTATATTTAATACATTATTAAAAATTTTATTTATTTTAATATCTTGCGCGAAAAAATTACACATTATGTTACAGAAGATTTCATACAAAATTAAGTTCATTTAAAAATTATTACGTATTATTTCATCATCTGAGATACCAAAAATTCGATACAAACTTCCTTTACTATAAACAACTTTCAACAGCCATGACATACTTATAACAATGCGCTGCTATTGACAAATATAAACCATGCCGCATTCGCATATATGTTTAGTCGCGCTTTACAAATTAGAAAAATTAGCAAATCTCTTTGTTAAAAACAAAACATTTTTATTTTATATTTAAAATTAAAAATTTATTTCTAACTCTTAAGATTTAATTTTCCTTATTAAAAATGGATGTATCTGTATATGCATTTTCAGATTTCGTCAAATACTTATCTTTTGAACAAAAAACGAGAAATTTGTAAAATACAAACTTGTTGGTTAAAATGACTGTAATATAAATGTTTATCGATCATCTGTAAAATATTTGGTATCAGCATGCTCGAGTAAATGTCGATAAATCGATCGTAACATCCCTTATCTTTCTCGTGTCAAAGTGAAAATTCAATTATTTATATAGACATGCTTCTCTCTCTAAGACATGTTCCCGGGTGTATACAGAGCGTGCTCTGAAAATAAACCTCGACCTCGTGAGCACGCAATGCGAGAAGATTGTTACTTGGAATCTGAAAAATTACAACTTGGCACCCCGACGTTTGAACATTGTAACACCGACATTGTAAGCATCAGAAAATACGTGACAAAACATAAGTGGACTTTATACTCATTAATAAAACATCTGTATTGATAGGTCGTAATATAGAATTTTAAATTAGTTTATAGCTCAATGCTATTAAAGCAATATAATTATAGTTGATAATCAATTCTAAGAAAGCAATATGTAGGAGAAAAAATTGTGATATGTAAAAGATATCACACATTTATATTATTTATTTTCTATACATAAATGAAATCGATCCGCCTTCAGCAACTATTTCATTTTCATTATTCATCAACTGAAAAACCTTTAATAAGTATATTAATATATTGAACGACTACTTTATCACGCGGCAATATATACAACGTAAAAGTTGAGAACATCAATAAGAGTCAATGATAATAACTGTGCGGTTCTGCGCAATTTTAATCAACCTTAATAAAGCCAGAGATTACGTCACTCTCCATCAATGGCGGATTTGCTTGTCGGTAAGACTGCATTTCCATCGTATATAATTGTATTAAATTTACACGTGCACGGAACAGTTCTGTTAACATATTTTGCAAAAATCTAATTTCAAATAAATAAGATATTTTACAAAACAATGAATATTTCACACCATCGTTGTACACGTTTGAAAAATTCAATCTTTGCGACATATTTCACATTGTGGAATCAATTGGAAACACTCGTGGGCGTCAACCGGGATTACATCGGATCTTGATGAATTTTCCAAAGTGTATTTGCAGCAATCGCGATTCGATTTGGAAGACCAACCAACTGAGAAATTGCCGCGAAATTAAACGCTCTTATCTGCCAAACGCAGGTCGAATGGACTATCGTTGCAGCTCCGTACTTTTATCTAAAATTCCATTTAACAATGCGAAAGTGAATAAGCGAGAATCCCGCAGCATCTGCTCACTATTCATCACAGATGCTGGCTTTGGTATTAGCATCGATAGATCAATCTTCCAATATCGCGCAGCTATTGCAATTACGTGATAGCTCAAATTTAATATTAATGCGATGTACATTTTAAAGCTAATTATAAATTATGATTGACATATCGTACGATATGTCAGCTAAACTCTTTTTATCTAATTACACATAAATACAAGCATTTTTCAAAATATTAGTTTTATAAATCTTAATGTGATTTTTTTGTCGCTTTATATCCGAATAATTTTATTATGCTCGATTCGCTGTTGTTTTAAATAGGTAAAATGTAATCTATTGATTCTTTGCATAAAAATGCACGGATCTTCGTTAAAAAAATAAGTAATGTGTTCAACTTGAAGAATTATTGAGTTAGAAAGAATTTAACGGACATACGCAGACACACTGAAAGTAGCACGCAGGGGCAATACCCTTATAAATTAGCATATTGAAACACGGCTAAACGCTTATCTCGTGCGAATAAACACATTTAGCTCCGCAGATACTGCTTTGTTCGAAAATATTGTTTCGAAAGTACCAACGATGATAACGACATTCTTTTTCAATTGACAAATAGAATAATTCACTTACAAAGAACGAGCTAAATCTCTCATGGTTCTTTATTCTGAGTCATCACGATTGAAATTAATACTCAACATAATATAGCAGATAAAAATATTGTTTTTGTTCGAATGAAAGTAATCATTATAAGCACTATATATACATATTGCTATCACACATCATTTGTTATTCGAAGATGATTCGAGAGCTCAAGAACGTATATAGATAGATTAAAATAAACGAGAGAGAAAGAGAAGAGCTCAAACGTTATTTCTTAACACTTACTACTTTCTACTTTTGATAGAAATAATGCGAATATGTTTTCTTATTTACAGAGATTGTTTATTTTTTAATGATTTAATTAAATCATTCACGTTAAGATCAATAAATATTCAAATAAATAAAGACTACAAAGAATAAAATTAAAGAAATCGCCGATTTTATGTGGAAAAAACTTGGAATTCTATATCTCAATCGTTCTTTCACGTGTCAATGACAACACGTTAAGATAGTGTTAAGAAAAAAAAACCGTCATCCAAGAATCTATCCGAGATAATACGGGCTGACGTCAAATGAAATCAATTGTTTACCGGATGTGTGACGGCAAATTTAAAGATGACCGAGCTTTCTGGACTTTGAATTTTGTTCTTGATACTCATACCTATAATCAGCCATACTCATTTTGCCAAATCTATAAATTAACTTCTTTTACTGTTCGATGACGCAGACTCTATGATTTGCAGGAAATACGTATATGAGACTTATTCGTTTTTAATTGCGCGTCCTACAGTATGCTTCTTTCTTTCTTCCGAGACGTAAATATACTTTATTATATTCTGTTTTAAACACAGAAAAGGCACAATTAAAATATAGATCTAAAATTTATTAATTTCAAGTTTTTAAAAAATAAAAATTTACATTATTTCTCTTGAAATAAAGTTAATTTTCAGATCTTAGTTTCAATAAAAATATATTCTATAGAAATTTCATCTATATAAAAAGAATAGTCAATATTATGTTGAAAAATTATTTACGTGAAGAAAAAATTAATTTATATTCTGAATAAATTATACTCGCTTATTAACAGTAAATGTGCATAACAAATTACTTAGTCTAGGATAATCTACATATGTACGATACTTATCAAGATCATATTTGCACAATAATTTTTTTACTCTAACAGATAGCGATAAGAGTTGATTCGTTTCATTTTCGCATCGTTGTATTAATATTCAAACACATAGTAAGGTACATAAAATTCAAACTTGTCGTGTGTGTGTTTTTATTATTTTTTAAAATAATAAATGCTTTTATTATTCCTTTTCCAGAGACTGCATATTTAATGCAACATGTATTTATGATATTTGCACTATAAGTAATATTAAAATGCATTATAATCAAAATCTAATAATTTATTATTTATTACAATATATTTATATATATGTATATTTATTAAAATTTTTAGGGTATTTTAATGCATAAACTTATGTAGCACAAAACGTTAGTAAAAGATTATAAAATATATAAATATTCCAACATAAGTCAAATAAAAATATTTCTAAGGTGTAAGCTTATGTAATATTCTTTTGACATCTATCTGTATATGATACTAGTGAGATTAGCAGCACAGATAAGT